TGTCCGTTTTGTTTGAATCGGCCCCCGAGAATAGTCAAAAAGCAAGTCGGGTGGCAAAATTGAGCAGACAAGCTAAAGAATATATTCCGGGCATAATATCTGGTCATGCAAAATACGGGTATTTAAAAATTTTACCCAATCTGTCAGTACCAAACGAGATTACCTATTTGGTGGTCGTACCCAGTCGCTCTGAACCGCTTTCTCCGTAGTTATCCCCCGAGCACATGCCTAAAGACCTAAGAACAAATGCAGTGGTGTGATACCTACGTTACATAAATTGGCAAAAATATAAGATGAGCTTGTATAAATGCAAACCTCTTTAATCTATATTTAAGGAAGCATACCAGGTCGATTTGTGAAGATTAGTCACCATGGTAAACATGCCTGTGACAATGTCACAGGCATGTCCCTATGGCCCTTAAATCCAAATGCTCTGTCACAAGACTGTTTACCATGTGACTAATCTTTCGCAAAATACAGTGATGCTTCCAGGTTTCAGCATAGAAACCCGAGTATATTTGGCAAAAGTAGCATTTCATCGGAAGTTTATCAAAGATCCAGGGGCGCGAAAGGAGTACAGTACTCTACGAGGCGCTTAACCTGATATTTGCGCCCCAGTTTTTGGGCCTAGCGATCGCGTGATGAAAACGCGTATTGCGTGAACCTCCGCGATGATTCTCTCGTGGCGAGCTCCCCCACGCGACGGCACGAGGCTTACGTTGCCGCGACTAACTAGCTGGTTTGTATCTTTCGGGTGAACGCCTGTCATTGTAATTCCAGCAAACATATACTACAACTGTCCAAATTGTGTATAGTCACACGCGGCACAGGATCAGTGCATCCTTTCGTCAACATAACACACATGCGTTTCGTTTACTAACCAGCAATATATGGAGGAGATCCACCAGATGTAGCATCGTATCGGCTTTGCTGAGCAACTTCCTTCATTCCCCAATTTCCCGTGGACACCAAAAATCGTTTATCACGCCCCACTAGAGGTTAAACAATTGTATTGGAAGTATGAATTCTTCCGCTCTCAGTCCACCAAATAGATCGTCACTGCAAGACATCGTGGTCGGGAATGTCATGCAGCGCACTACGCGGAAAAACCTCGGCAATCTGTCTGCAGAAGTTGATGGCTTCATACCCCAGAGCACTAACGTTGCAAACTCGTATCAGCAGCAGCAGAGACGCCACACGAACCACCATGCACCGTACCAACAACCTTGTCAAGATTACCATTCTGAGAGTGATACTGAGACCGCTACCGAGGATTTCAGCACCTCTGTGATCTCATCATCGATTGTCGACCTTATCGGGCAGAGTAGTTTGGCGTCTGGCAGAAGGCGAATTTCATGCCTTCTATCCGACCTCAAGACGGTGAGCAGCATTAATGCAAGTATCCAAGGAGCTGACCACCCTATCCCGGCTGAGTTCCAGCAGGCCATTGTGGCTGATGCCTTAAAGAAAAAGATTCGCCACCGAGAACGATGTCGTATCAACCAGGCACGATACCGACAGCGACAGATGCAACTCGAGACTGACATTGAGGATGCCATCGCCAAGATTAGATCGGAAATCAAGGAACTCGATACGCAGTGTAAGAATTTTTCTCGTCCTCCAACTACCCCAACGAGTTGGGCTTCGGCGTCCGAATACTTTCGTCAGTTCAACTACTACGTTTCTTCACCAGGAACGCTCTCCAAGATGGCATCCAAGTTTCTTAATGAGACTATGGCACCAGCTGTCATGGGCGGCTCATTCTTTGGTGTCGATGCTCAGCTGGAGAACTGGAGGCTGTTCGCTTTCTATTTCGACGAAGTTCGCGTGGATCTGAAGTGTTTGAAGACTCCGACATCTGACACCCTGGTTGCTGATACAGTCACCAGAGTGACCATCACGACCAATACGCTCCGTCGCGCTTTCCCTCACCTCAATAGAGATGGTACCGGTGGCTCGAAAGGCGGTGTATGGTCGTCTCTTGCAGCAAAAATGCTCGGAAAGAATATTGTTATGCGTGGTTCGGTATCCTTTCGATGGGACAGCGCAACAGATAAAGTGGTGAGCATTTATTCTCAAGCGGACATGCTAACGCCAATGCTGAATCTGCTAGGGAGTTTAGAGGACGTGT